GGGGCCCAGAGTGGGAAAAGATACGTATCTAGACGGAGATCCTCAGAGTTGAATCTGCTACAGGTGCACGTCACAGCCATAGAAGAAGGGTGACCAGCTGATGATTCTGGTTTACCCGCCACAGAGGACATTTCTAGGACATGGGACTCCATCTCAAAACCAGAACAGTCCCAGGCCACCCAGGATCAGGAAGTGTTCCATAGCCTTTAGGGACAGAACAGGCAAATGTTATGTAGAAAAAGAGGCCGGCATCTGTGCCCCACCTGCCATAGTTACTTATAAGGAGAACACCAGTGCGACTCCAACATGATTTGGGTTGAAAATTACAGCAGCGTTTCAAAACATGTAGAAAGATACACTTGTTCATTGAGCCAACTTTTGATTGAAAATGTGTGGCTTGCAAGTAAGCCACACCTAGGCCACATTAACATCCTTCCTCAGGCTTTATGAGCAAGTCTTGGGGGAAAGCCCAGATTTGCCATCCGGGTGGGAGTTTCCCAGGGCCCGGGCAGTGTTCTCTGAGGTGTGAGCCGGGCTGCGGTATAATCTTCTACAACTACATTCTACAACTAAAGCTCAACTACAAAAAGCTTTAGGCTTGACTCGCTAATTTTCAGAAATCTGTTCTTTTTTTATGAGGCAACAGTAAAAATGTCAAAGGTGAAAGGAAGCCTTTTTCTCACTTCAGGTGCAGGTGCTGCGTTGAGTTCCTTTTTTTTTTTTTAACAATGCGCAGAGGGGGAATTCTGGACCCCTCTGCTTTCTGATGAGCTGATAAATGTGTATGTTTCCTGAAGATGGAGGATCTTTCGCAATCGACACAGCCACCCGCCGCTGCCTGCCCCTCCTCCAACTCTTGTGCAAATGAATCATCAAGAATGCAGACTGGTTCATTGTGATGTCTTCTATTGTTTGGTCTTTCTTTTTTGAAAAGTGGTGGCAACAATTTCTGCTCGGCGGTGCTGAAACAGGGCGGCGGATCCGGGGCAGCAGACAAAACACACAAACTGCTGTTTTGACGGGTCTCCTCGAGTCCTTTTCTTTCTCCAGACAAAGAGCCCCTGCAGGTCCCTCTCCGCAGGTGCGGAGCTGGCGTCACCTGGGAAAAGGCGAGCCGGTGGGGAGCGCGTGTTTTCGAATGAATGCCAGGCTCGTCGGTCCCGAAATTCCCTCCGGAAACGCGCGGCTCGCCTTCCCGACGGGCTCGCTCTCCAAAGAGCGCGGGACCCTCTGCAGAGGCTGCGCGCCGGTCGCGGGAGGCTGGAAAAGCAGAGGCAGAGTAATTCCAAGTGAAGCCGCACTTCGCAGTATTTTTCACACACCGGCTGTTTGATAACCAACCTCCCACTGTCAGAAAAGCCAGGGGCATAGGGCTTGGCGGTATCTTATGATGCTCTGGGCCGGACAACAGCCAGCCTTGCTCTGGGATGGTGCCCCTCCCCAGCCCCGCGTGGGAGAACTTGGGGCGCGGTGCCTGGAGAAGACAGTGTTGTAGGCAGAAAGCCACCAGTTCAAACCCTGCGTCTTCCACTCATTTGCCAATTGACGTTGAGGTAAATTGCGATCCTCGGAGGAGATATCCTCCACCATCAAGTGTGGAAGAGGGTCATGTTTTCCCAACAGCAGAGTCGTGAGCAGTAGATGAAATAATAAAATTGCATTTCTAGAATGCCTGGCACATCGAAGGCATCCGTGAGTTATTCTGATCTTGTTTTGGAAGTTCTGTCCGCGTGAATACAGAGTGCAAGCGGCCCTCTGGAAATCCTGTGGGTGATGCCACTAGGTTCCCCAAAGCCAGAATCAAAGCCGCCAGGATTTGAACTTCCTCCTCCAAATGAACAGAGTTTCAGCTTCGTCTGGAGGGGAGCGCCCACCCCCAGCCCTTCGGGACTCCCTGCTGAAACAGCCTTCCCCAAACCTAAAGTCCAAGTCCAAAATAACTAGACAAGATCTTCCTATTTCTCGAGGTGGTGTTACACAGATCAAGAGCCAAATTTTTATATTACTATGTGAGAGGCTTCAAGTAATTCAATAGTAGTCATGAAATCTATTACGTATGGGTCAAAAATGAGGGTTTGACGGTCATTAAGAGGTTAGCTATTAAAAACAGATGGCCTCATCAAGGGAAAACCTGCCACTTCCCCTCCAGCTCCAACAGTGCCCAACTGCCTTTCTTCAAATGGTTTCATTTTCATCTAATAATGTTAATTGGGCAAGGCCTTCCAGAGCTTTGCAAGGAAGCTAGTATCTCATCTTCCCTCTTGAAGAGAAAGCTGACGCTTCCTGAGCATGACTGGGCCAGACACATGCCCAGTCTCACCTCCTTTGATTCCCAGAATGATCTGAAAAAAAAGTGTATTTTGACAGCATTTAAGGTGAAAGAAGAGATCAGGCGATTTACCCAGAGTTCCCCAAGAGCAAGTGGGAAAGCGACTGGCTGACCTGAAAGTCAAATGCCACAAACCATTGTGGGGAAAGGAACTCTGTAGTATTTAAAATAGATGTGAAATTGGGAATGAGCAAATCTCAATAAGCTCCCTTAGAGATCATCAGTGAGACGGCAGGGCCAGAAGAAGAGAAGCCTTTTACTAAAACACAAATATGGAGCACATTCTACTTTCCACTGAAACCCAAGCCCACGGGGCATGCACTGGGGGGTGGTCTGCCTTCATTTGGCAAGTCTGGTATCCTAAATCCCTCCCTGTAACTCTTCCCAATTCTCTCACTTCTCTGGTGTTTTAAAAAGTTGCCACTTTGGGAGAAGATGGAAGGCAGGCAGGTGTGATTGTTCCACTCTGAATTTGTTAAACTGCTTTCTGAAAGTCCGTAAGATTATGAGAAGCTAAATTAATGCCTGGGTTGTATTGGCCAAGGCCTCGGTCTTGGACCAGGACCTATGGCACAAAGATAAAGTGATTAATTGCTTTAATTACATGGGGTGTGTTCTGTCAGGTGACCCAAGTCTATTTTCAGCTGCGTGTATGGAAGAAGCAGCCCTGAGAGACCGGGATGCCCCCAGGGAAGCCAGGGCGCATGGGTAATTCTCATTCCCAAGAAAATACTTAACGTGTGCAAGAAGTTTCCCGGCTGATGTGCTCCAAGACTTAGAATCAAAGTTTGGGAGAAGAATTTAGAAAACAGACTTGGGGGAGGAGGCAGTGCAGGGGCGAGGGTGGATTACATACACCGGCCTGTTTCTCTTTGCAAACCCTCCAGTTCTCTCATCCCGCCTGAAATGAGGTCAGGAACGGGGCTAGTGGGACTGGGGATGTGGTCGGGACCTTCTTCAGACCCCTTTGCCATCCAGTATTCTCTTTCAAACAAGTGACCTTGAAGATGATCCGGTCCTCCTGACTTCAAGGGGCGGTGCCCGGTGCAGGCGGGCTGCCTCGTTCTGGCTCATGAAACGTCCTGCCTCGCGGGTCCAGCTGCAGGATTCCAGAGTCGGGTGCTCTGTCCTTTCAACGCCTCCCATTTTTCAAAGTGTCCACTCTCTTCCTAGCGTACCGTTCCCTCTGACAAGGGCTGGAGGGGTTGGACGGGATCCCAGTTTCTGCTGTTTCTGCTGGGGAGCCCGGGGCGGGGGGAGGGGGGGTTGCTGAAAAACCCAAATCACAATGCAGTGTCTTCAGTCTGAAGAACTTATTCACAGATGGGCAGATAGATAAGAGATCTTTTTTTTTTTCAAATATACAGACTATTAAGGTTTTCTCTTATGTATAAAAGCAAGTCAAAGTATTTTTTAATACCTACAAACTTGTGGTCAGTCATTGAATACAATTAGTTATGTGAATATGTTGGAAATTTTTTGACATTAAAATGTGGTTATCAAATTATCTGGTTCTCATACCTAAAGCCTGTGAATTAGGTCTAAGCCTTCCTGTGTGTGTAAAAAAGAAAAAAGAAAAAAAAAGGTACTTTTCGCAAAAAACGAATTAACACCCACAGTTCCATTCTGGATATGCAAAGAGGCTTAGGGACAGGAGTTTCTCTCCAAGACCTTCAAATCAAATGCAGATTGACCCCACCTTTTATGAAGCCCATCTCCCTGGCCCCTCCAGCATTACCAAGTCCTTCCTCTGGGGGAGTCGGTGGTACTGGTTTTTAAGGCCTTCTGGTGGCCCTGGATCCCCCGTTCCCTAGCTGCTGTCTGTCCTGCTTAACCGCGCCCCCCCCCCAACTGGTTCTCTCTCCCTCCCCATCTAAGGAAGACAATTCACTTTCCACGATACTTTTGAGGACAGGGAAGATGTGGTTGCCAGGTTCCTAGATCAAATCTCCAAACTGGGAGTATCTTTTTAGTTCTCACACTCAAACAGGAAGGCCACTGAGTTACACCTACTTCGCACATGACTCCCTGCGAGTGAAGCAATACTTACTGCTCAGGGTGGGGGCAGAAGGGAAAGCTTGAGAGTAAACTGCGCGGAAGTTCCTCTTGCCTGGCAGACTCAAACACCCAAGGCTCACCACACCACTAATTAAGTACCTGATGAGTTTCTACAGGCGACTGTAGGTAAACCACTCTCGGGGCATCCATGTAAGGTGCTCAAGACCTGGCATTAATCTCCCATTTTTCACTCTTTTCTATCCCATTTAAAGTGGAAGTCTCAGGACAGCAGAAATCATGTCACGTGACCCTGTCTGCTCTATCCTGAACACAGAACTGGATAGGATGGTTCCACTAAGAGGTGCCTGCTGAAAAAAATTAGTTAAAATACAACATCGTGCTATGGTTTAGTGGATTGGGTGCCAGCCTGCAAACCAAAGGGTCTCCAGTTTGATTCCCAGTCAGGGCACATGCCTCGGTTGCGGTTGCGGGTCAGGTCCCCAGTGGGGGGCGCACGAGAGGCAACCACACATTGGCGTTTCTCTCCCTCTCTTTCTCCCTTCCCCTCTCTCTAAAAATAAATAAATAAAATCTTCAAAGAAAACCCCATAAAAAACTTTGAAATAAATAAATTAATCTTGTATTTTTTAAGATTTTATTTTAGTTATGTCACAGTAGCTTACATAGTAAAAAAAATAAACACAGAAAAGAATAGTGATAACTTTTAATGGTTTATAGCTATAGCATCCAGTTATGTGTATATACACATGTATAAATATACAAACAGACCATAAATATCCATATGGCAAAAGACATCTACCACTAGGTACACACACACAATAAAATCTTTGCAACTATACAAACAGCCATAAGTAATACTGAAGGAAAGTAGATACTGAGGTATTTTCCTTTGAATCTAAAGTGACTATAGCCTATATCAGCAATTTCCAACCAGGGTGCCACAAGAATTTTTAAAACATGCAATACCTTACTATTTTAGTCAGGGGCACTGACCTCTTCCCTCTTAGACTGTCCAATGAAAAAAATTACGACAGCCAACACAACAATAGCTGTCCAGTTGAATGACTCAAAAGTATACCTATTTTTGGTCAGATCAGCAGAAAATATCTATTTTTTGGTGTGCTGAGGAATTTTAGTCATTAGTTTATGTGTGCCATGAAATGGAAAAGGTTGAAAATAACTGACCTATATTAAAACATTTTTAATGTAGAGGTTCAAGTAGTTATAAAACCCGTCTTTAAAAAAAATAACAAAAACTTTATCTTGTGACCTAAAACTGTAACTACTGAAAATTTTTAAACTTAACAAAAATATTTTAATTATAAATAGGTAAAATAAATAAGGTTCTTTATGAAATGCAATCGTGTTTTAATATATATTTGGGGACTTTCTTTTAAAAAATGAAATGACTGAAACCCTTCTCTGAATCTACATATTACTTTAATGCAAATTTTATATATATTGCTTATCCAGAATAAAAATCTCATGTATATATATGGAATCTACCTATTCCTCTTTAAAAAAAAAGTATATCATATACCCCTGAAACTAATACAAAATAAAACTAATGTAAACTGTGAGTAAACATAAAAATTTTTATGTATATCCCAATTATGAAAACATGTTTAGTTTTGCTTTAAAAAATCAGTTTTTATACAGTACACATTGATGAGTATGAAAAACAGCATTTTACAGATTTTAGAAACTTCTTCAGAAACATTTTCTTAGTTTAGATATTTGTTTTCCTAAGTTAATTATAGCAGTAAAAAGTCCAATTTGCTTTTTAAAATTATCCATGGTTATCCAAAATCCCCATGCTTTCTATCTTTTAATATTAAACCTGTAAGAATTTTACTGGCACCAATACTCACACTTCGGTCAAATATTTTCAAATTACATACTTTCCTATTAAACCCAAAAGGAAAACATTTAATGAGAGGTCATTTGAACAGAAGCAATGCATTCTGAGACAAAAGAAAATTATCTAATTATTTTACATGTTGTAGTGACCTATAACACCAGCATTCACTGTGACATTCAGTGTTCTCAGACGACATTTTTACTGTGAACAAGATAATATGTATCAACCAAATATTATACATCGTCCTGGAGCTGTGAACCCATAGTAACAAACACGGAACATATTCCATTTCTTGGCCCCCGCCCCCACACTAGTCATTTATGAACTCCTCTTACACTAGGCTGGACATTACCCTTCCAAAAAGTAACAGAACGATTCTCTAAGCAAAACCAAAAATGTATAAACAGTTCGTTGCATATTTTCAATGCCTTTCCATCCTTGCTTTAAAATGAACAAACCAGTTTTACAATGTTCGGTCATCCCAAAGAATGACTTCGGAAACATGTTCCGTCTTCATGAACAAGGGCATCGGAAAGCAGCTGAGAGCTCCTTCCTTCACCTTCTTCTCCATAATAAGGCAAATCCCTCCTGTGACAGATGAAACACAGCAACTCCCACTAGAAAGCAGTCTCCTCATTGGAAGGCTTCTGAAACAGTCAGGTTCCGAGGTGGAAGAGTTTGGAAATCAGATTTAGAAGTTTCTGCCGGAAATTCAGTTTGTCTCCAGTTCTCCTTAACTGAAGGGCACACTCAACTTCGGCCTCTGAAAAAGAAAGCAAAACATCGAAATTAAATTGACGGCATTCCAAACTGGAACCAGCAAGAGTGATAAGTTGAATATTTATCCCATGAAGCAATTCTCTTATCATTAGCTATGCACACCTGTTTTCTGAATATGAGATGGAGCACACACAACAGAGACAAACACATTGTGAATCATAAACAACAAAGTTAAACAGCTCTGGTTGGTGTGGTTCAGTGTATTGAGTACTGGCCTGTGAACCAAAGGGTTGCTAGTTCGATTCCCAGCCAGGGCGAACGCCTGGGCTGTGGGCCAGGTCCCGGGGGGGAGGGGGGAGCATATGAGAGGCATATTTAGACTGTTTCTCTAAAACATTGATGCTTCTCTCCCTCTCCTTCTCCCTCCCTTCCCCTCTTTCTGAAAATAAATAATATATATATATATTTTTTTAAGTCAAACAAAGACATGACATTTACAGCAGCACAGTTAGCGAGACATTGTCAGATTCAGATGATGTCATCCTTTTTTCTCTCACTTAAGGTTGGTGGGAGGAACAGAAGTCAGTTCTAAACTCTCTTCCACTATTTTGAAGTCGGGTTTGTTTTGTGTGGCAATAATTCGTAGCTCAGATTATGCACTCATTAATAGGCAAATCTAACCGTATTCTTTTCTTCAATTAAAACACTCTGAAATCTTCTCATAAAGGACTGACTCAAACTTGTATTCCAAAAGTAAGCCCACATTCCCTAAAATAAGTTAAAAGTTTACATTTCCTTCTAAGCCAAATTCTTCCAACAAATCCAACCTCTACCAATCCATTGCCTGTAGGGAGATGAGTGAGGCAGAAAATAAGTAATGTTTAATTCACTTGTTTACTACTTTTTAGAGCTATTGTAATTAACTGAATGTTAATTTAAGAAACATAAATCACCTAATTTTCAAATAAATCTTTTAAGTAAGGGAAATTAACATCAAGTCTATACTGACATTAATTTCCATTTTCTTGAATATTTCAAAGACTGACTCAGGGTCTTTTGGTCCACTTGAAAAAGATCACAGTTATGAACATTAAAAGTCATTACAACTACAAATTGAAATCAGGTTTACTTTGTAAACAGACCCTGCAGAGACCCAACTTAGGCTCAAAATAACTAAAAACTGTAAATGTACAATAAAGTGGATTACTATCTCTAAAAGACCTACGTAAAATTTTCATAATACCTACCAAGAGACCTAATAAATATCATAAGATGTCTTTCTTTACAGGTTACGGAGTTAAACATTTTGACAAAGACATAGTTTTCAGTGAGTGGCATCTATTAACATACCATCCTAAAAAATTTACAATTTTATATACAACTCTGGAAGCCCTGGATTATAAGAAAAATTATTCCTTTCACCAAAAAAGGCAGAAAACAGCTCCTAAGTGCTTCCTGAGTCTCTTTGCTACAGTCACACATCTATGAATGTATTAATTTAAAAATCTGTAACCTTACTATATATTATACTTCACAACATATACATGTATCAAACCATTGCATTGTACACCTAAAATTAATAGTGTTTTATGTCCCTTATAACTCAACTTACATACAGTATTATCTAAACAAGTTTAAGTGGGACCTTCCTTCTCATTGGGAAGTTGGATGGTTGAAGGTTATGCATAAGCTTAGACCTTTTCACAACAGGTCAGAACTATTGGGCATCACAGAGGCGGAGAAGGTTTTTTGCTTCCCAAGCAACTTGGCCAGTACACCTTCCTCTGCACTCTGCACGCGCTCTATAAAATGAAAGCACGTTGCAGGGCCGGGAGAGGGGGGCGGCTACTGCTTGCTGATGTAATAGCAACATGACCGCATATATTTTTAAACCCAAAGCCTTGCCGCCTTCTTTGCTACTGCCCCTTAGCCTTGTTTCATAAGATTCATAAAAAGAGCCAGGTAGGGCTCAGTAGGTTGGGTGTCCTCTTGCAAACTGAAAGGCCTCTGGTTGGATTTCCTGAAAGGCTGCTGATTCAATTCCCTAAAAGGTCGCTAGTTCGGGGCGGATGGAAGGCAACCAGTGATGTTTCTCCCCCTTTCTCCTTCCCTTCCCCCTCTCTAAAATTAAAAAAAAAAATTATAAAGAGTGCTGGGGGTAGGAGCTGACCTCAAAAGTCATTTGATGGGGCTATTGGGAGGTAGGGGGGAGAACTGGATGGATTTTAAAAGTCGAGAACCAACTCTGTTTCTCCTATCCCCTCTCCTCAGCTAATTAAAATGTTACGTAGCATAACTTAAAAAAAGAAGCAAGACTTTCTGGGCCCCTGAACGCAACGGTCCCTGCGAGGCCCCCACAACCCTCCACGGGTCCTTTGTGGAAGGGCAGTTGTGACGGTGGAAAGTGTCATCGGCTTTTGTTCGCGTTGGGGGTGGAGGGAGAGATAACGCCCCGCGCAGGGCCCTCAGAGGTCCAGGACTCCGGAGAAAGGGGACTGTCCTAGGAAACGCTGCGAGGCCAGGTGGCTCCAAGAGCTTCTCGCGTCCCCACCTGCCATGAGGACTTTCTCCTCGTGGCTGATGCCCGCATTTGCCATTTTTTTCTCCCCGTGACCCCGGGGCAGGGCAAGTGGGGATGGAAGACAGGCGAAGGAGAGAAGAGGCGTTCTGCAAACGCGAAAACAGCTGCATCCCAGTCCCACACCGGGATCACTACCTCGCCGTGTCCACGGTCTCGGGCAAAACCCCTTTAGAACTTCCAGAAGGCGCCCCGAAAGCACGTGCAAGGGCGCAGACCTGGCTGGACCTTGAGGCCCGGAATAGACTGGCTGACCGCGCCCCGACCGAGACCTCCACCCCGGTCCCGGGCCCCGTCCGGTCCCTACCTGCCGGGGCCCGCGTAGGGCTCGGCTGCGCGTTCTTACGCGCTTTCCTTCCGGGCATCTCTGGCGGGAACTCTGCTGCAGAACCCGGGGAAACTCAGTCCCCCGACCTTGAGTCTGCAGGAGGCGAGCTGCGAGCGGGACCGTCAGGCAGGACCGGGATAGAGAAATGACTGCGAGAGTCGGAGACGGGTCTTAGAATGGCTACGGACTCCGAAGCCCGAGCTTTTATCTCCCGGGTGACGAACCGAAACTTGACGCCGAGCCCGCCCCTCTCTCCGCCCCTCCGGCCACCGCGCGCGCCGAGGTTTGGGCGGGTTGGGGAACTCCCCCGCGGCCTTCCCCGACCTGCCTTGGCACGTTCCCGACCCGCGGCCGCAGCGCGCTCGGGTCTCAACCCGGCTCAGCCCCGAAGTTACTTCCTTAACAAACCCGGCTGGAGGAGCAGGGGGTCGGGACCGAGAAAGCCGACGCGCGAGCTGCAGTGGCCACTGAGTCCAGAGTCGCGCCAGGAGGTTGGGGGTGGGGAGGACGGGATTTTCATCCTTATCATAAACGCACAATTAGAGACTTCTGTAAACAAACCCCAGAAAGAGCTCGGGGGAAAAAAAGATAGTTTTCACACTCAAGAGTGTGTGTCGTTTCGAGGAAGTGAAATGAGAACTTTAATAACAAGAGGAATGATGCCAGAAGCCGTGTTCGTAAATAAAGTACCGATTGAAACTGTTGGGAAGTTAACCACAATTTGAAACGCAGGAGCAAGCAGGCAAACACCGCTTTGATTTGGCAGGGGTGCGTGCATGTTGTTGTTTTGTTGTTTGTTTGGATGGGAAGAGGAAGGAGCTAGTTCTGGGCCCCTGGGGGCGGGGCTTTGATTTTAAAAGTGGAGCATATTCCCTTTGGATATGGCTCTTTCTGGATACTTAGTAACATTTAAAAGCATACAAGTCATCATATAGAAAACTTTAAAATGCTTTTTGTGGAGGGAAGCAGGAGATATCTGGAAATATGAAGTTATTTGCAAGAGGTTTGGCGGGCCCTCGAGTAATTAATTTCATTACTGTAAAAAGGAGTGATTTGGACTACTTTCAGCGAGAGCTGCTTAATGCTCCGGGCTTACTGAAGCAGGCTTTTTTTTTTTTTTTTTTTCCTGTCCTCAAAATAACTCTGCAACGCTGCAGTTCTTAAAAAAAAAAAAAATCATGGGCACTTGACAAGTGCGAAAATGAGGTTATAGAGATGAGGAGAATTGCCCAAGCTCACGCGGACAGAATGCGGTGCCGGGTTCTGAGCCCAGGCGGGTCCGCCTGGCGCGAGCCCTTGCCCACTGCGGCCTGGCCATTAGTCACAGGTTCTGAGAAAGCGAGTTCTCAGATTATCCGCGCTATGTAACGGAGAGGTTGCAAATTGGCTGCTTAGAGCTGTGTGGCTACCTAGGAGTGTTAGGTTTCGTTGGTTCCCTAGATTGGTCTGCAAAATGTCTTATGAACATTTGGATTGCTTGACAACATTTAACGTTGCATTAAAAACCTAGATTTCTGGCGTCCTTAGGAAAAATCAGAAGCTCTCGCAACCCCGGATCCCTTTTCCAAACGTGTGGAGCAGACTGGAAGTGGTGGCCGCCTCTTCCCTTAGAGAGAAGTCGGGCGGGAGGGGCCACACTCCCTGCTGTTTGTTTTCTCATTTACATTATCTGGCCCCAGTAGGCAGCAGAGTTGTTTATTTACCTGAAATCATTCAATCAACACAAATGTGCAAGTATTTATTTTGGCTTGCTTCTGCAGAAGTGTAGACGACGCTATAAGCATGGAACGAAACTACTTTCGAGTTTAAACAACCTAGTTTTGAGTGCGATAAACATTGGGATCAAGAGAATTCAGTTTTTTAGCACGTGGTACAGGAAAGCTCTGTGGAGATTCGGCCTCCAAACCTGTTGTCTGGAACCCGGTATCCAAAAACCCCTGGGTCCTCCTCCTTCTCAAGGCTCGCAAGGTTCCTTAAACTTAAGGAACACCATTAATTACCTTTCTTCTTGGAGAAATTAGTAAACTTTCTGATCAAATACAGCATGCTGAAAGGCAACGGATACATTCGACAGAAGAAAAACAAATTATGTCATTGTTTACCTACGAAAGGGTGTGTCGCCCCTGTTCTCTAATATTATCATTACAAAAGGCTGTGGGTCACGTGGCCCATACAAACCTTCAGCAAGTTGTGCCTTTTGGAGATTTGCAAATTCAACTTGGAAAGAAAAGGGAGGAGCGAGTGGGCGGAGGTGCGCAGCAGAGATGGGTCAAAATCACCATTTGTGGAGGACTTTGTAAAACGCTGCGTTTGAGGCAGTTCAGGAGCTCTCTTTCAGAGCTACCATTTTGTTAAGGGAATTCGAGGCTGAGGGTGAACAGGTTCTCCCAACTGCACACTTTTCTGGAAAAGTGATTCATCCCTTCATGAGAGCCTGCAAGGAATGTAAACATCTAGGAATATTTTTGGCCACCAGGGCTGACAAAATGAAAACTTATCATAAAGCACTGGAATCCCCTATTACCTGTTTTCTTGTTTTGTATTTGATAAAAAGGAACGGTGAGGTCAACAATTTTTTAAACCACTACCACGTATCAGTTTTCGTAAAAACCAAGTTCAAAAATGACAGTACAAATTGGGCCATGCCTGTGTTGTCACTTACAGTGTGAAAAGAATTAGTGAAAAACAAAAGAGCCAACGTGATTAGTAATAGAGTAGTCATTCATGTGTCATATTGAAATGGGATTTGGCAGGAAGACCAGAAGACTTGAGAGATGAGTGAGAGAGTTTAAAGGAAGCCTGTGAAGATATACGTAGGACATTAACCAAAAGGGGACTTGTTTTTTTTTGTTGTTTTGTGTCGTTTTTCCTGGAGGGCATGTGGGTTGATGTGACATCAGCCTGATGCATCCATGAGTTAAGCCTTTATTTTAAGACAGACACCAGGCTAGGCCCTGGGGAGACAAGTGCTCCCTCCCCGAGGAAGCTGCATCAAAGCCTCACAAATTCAGTGTCTGTGAGGCTACCTTGTTAACATGCACTTCTGATTCTGGAGAGCTGGCTGGTCTTGCAGTTCTGCTTCTCAAACAAACTCGGGTAATGCCGATGCATTTGGTCTACGGACACCACCTGGAGTAGCCAGGCTAGAGGGTGATGCGGGTAAGTCCACAGGCAGGTACGATGAGATGGGCATCAGGGCTGTGCCAGAGAAAGTATGGCAGACTATGGGAAGGCAAATAAGCAGGAAAGGGCATCTACATAGAGACCGTGGTGGCATCAATAGGAGTTGGCCAAGCGATGAGGCCAAAGGGAAGAAGGATGTTCCATGCAGAGAGTGAAGAGCCATGTGGTTGGAAATGGTGAGAAGTAAGTGGGGAGAGAAGCCACCTGAGGAGTGTGGGTAATTTTGTGGGGGCACAAGGGGAGACCACTGAAGGTTTTAAGCAGGTAGGTGATGTGATCAGATTTCAGAAAGCTCACTCTGGCTGCAGTGGGACTAGATCAGCCGAGCTGAGACATCGTGACGGGTGAAGACACTGTGAGAATTCTCATACAAGATGGTAATGCCAGTAAAGTCACTGTTTCCACCGGTGCCTCGTAACAATGTCCGTTTTTCCTGACTAGGATAGGACCAGATTCTATCAGAGCAAGACTGGATGTTTTCAGTATAAACATAATCAGAATCCCCTGTATTAGTTTTTAAGGGCTACCACAACAAAGTAGCACAGACTGGGTGGCTTGAAACAGAAATGCATTCTGACTACGTCTGGAGGCTGGAAGTCTGACATCCAGGGCTCAGCAGGGCCATGCTCTCCCTGAGGACTCCAGGGAAGGACCCTCCACGGCCTGTTCCACTTCTGGTGGTCGCTTGCAGTCCTTGGCAGTCCTTGGCGGGCATCACTCCTGTGTCTGCCTAGGTCTTCCCATGGCCTGCTCCTCTGTGCGTCTTTGTTCAAATCTCCCTGTTCTTGTAAGGACAGCAGTCACTGGATCAGGGTCCTGCCAATCCAGGATGACCTCACTGTAACTTGATTACATTGGCAGTGACCCTATTTTCAAATAAGGTCACATTCTCAGATTGGTATCTGTGGGAAGCTGGGGAGTGGGGAGTTAGGACTTCAACATATCTCTTGCGGGACACAATGCAACCTTTGACATCTGTCTTTATCAGCTGCCTTTTAGAAAAAGTTCTATGTACACAGTTTTCATCCTGTTTGCAATTTGCAGTTTACAACCGAAAGGCTGCTACTAAAGTGGACAGTGGATTTAAGCTACCAGAAAAAAGCTCACAAGCAGTAAAGATAAGATAAGAAATAAGATGACTTCTGAGTAAACAGGTGTAGAATATGTCGGCCACAGAAAGCATGTGGACCCGGATCGTTCTGCGTTGTAGTTGAGCTAGGAGCCCCCTGGCCTCTCCAGCCCACCAAGGTTTGCCCCTCACAAGGCGAAAGGAGTTTTCAAGAAACCCTTGGTGGAGTTTGAAAACACTTAATTTCTATTAATTTGACATATAAACACATTGAGTATGAAAACAGAGGAGAAAAAAGTTCTCATCTCCCGAAGTGTCTACTCTTCCCTTCTCTTTTCCTTGTTTGCTAATTGTTCTCTGTATTGTCACAGTTAATGGTCCTCAAGCATGTGTTTGCCTTTTCACTGCCAAGTTCCAGGAGAGGAAGCGGCGCGTGACGTTCAACAATGCCAGTGGGGAAATGGGGGCTCTGCCTGGATGTTTAAAGCTGCTGAATGATTGATTTTCAACAGGTAAATGAATCCAACCAGTTTAGAGGATTTAATGGGAGAAACTACTAATACAAACTCCTTGTTAGAACATATTTATTATGATACAGTTATTTTTAGGTGGTTATTGAATGACTACCAGGAAGGTGATTCAGTCTTACAGGAGAGTAGCAAGCAATAATGTCTGAGTATCATCCACGTAAACACAACTTCTGAATCAATTGATGAGGTTATTTCACGTGCAGACCTAACCTAGGACTAACAGATCGAAACCACGGAAATATTCATATTAACGAACTTGTAAGATGATGTTGGTACACCAAGGAGGTGATGAAAAAGCACATTAGAAGGGATGCCTGACCTCAAGTAGACTTTAGTCTGGCTAAAAACATAAAATATTATGAATGGACAGCAAACAATTGAAAAGGGATTCTAATTTTATGGAACGCTAATAC